CAAAGTCAACAATGAAAGTCATCATTAACTTAATTTCAAAATCAGATAAATATTCAAAGGGAATTTTATGTCAGTCTCTTTAATGAACATAAATATAAAAATTCTCAATGAGATACTAACAACAATAATGTAGCAAGTCATTAAAAAAAACCATAACCAAAAAGGCTTCATCCCAGGGATGCAATGATGGTTCAATAAATGCAGAAACAAAGGCAACAATCACATGATCATCTCAATAGACACAGAAAAAACTGTTTTTCCTTTTTTTTTTCTATTTATGTATTTGGTACAGGTTCTCACTATGCAGCTTGAACTCGTAGTGATCCTCCTGTTTTCAGCCTCCCCAGCACTGGGATTATAGGCATGTGCCACAACAACTGGACTCAATGGCCAGCTCAGCATGCCCTTGCGATGGGGCCAGCACAGCATGCAGGACCAAGGATTGAACACTGGCTCCTGAGCTTGCTAAAGCAAGCACTTAGTCCAGTGAGCTATCTAGCCAGCCCCCAGAAAAACCTTTGATAAACTTCAATATCCATTCAGGATTTTAAAAAGTATCAAAGAAAATAGGTGTAAAAAATTGTTATTGCAGTATGATAAAAGATATATATGACAAACCTACTGCCAAAATCATATTAAAGAGGGAAAAATGGAAAACTTCTCCTCTAAAAGTAGTTCTTAAAATATTAGCCCGAACCATCAGGAAAGAGGAAAAAAATAAAGAGAGAATATTAAAGTGGGGTTGGTGAAATGGCTCAGTGGTCTAAAGCACCTTTTTAGGCAAGTGCAGGGACCATGGTTCAATTCCCAGCACCACATGCTGTGCCAGCCCCAACCCTCAGGGTGGACTGAGCTGGTCACACACACACACACACACACACACACACACACACACGAGTATATTAGAAAAAGAAGTCAAGTTATCATAATGTGCAAATTACATTATCCTCTACATAGAATATTCCAAGAATTCCACCAAAAGATTTGCAGAATTAATTGTCAAGTGCAGCAGTATAGCAGGATGCATGATCAAAACAAAAATGAATAGCATTTCTGTACATCAACAATGAACTCACTGAGAAATTAGGCACACCATCCACAATAGCATCAAGAAAGTTAAATGCTTAACAATTAATATAACAAAGAAGTGGAAGAACTCTAAAATGAAAAAAGAGATCACTCTGAAAAAGGAAGTCAAAGAATACACAAGAATATGAAAAGATACCCCCTGCCTTTGAATAGACAAAACCAATATAGTCCAAAGTACCATACTTCCAAAACAGATATATAGATCTAGTGCAATGCCAATCAAAACACCAACAGCAATGCTGACAGATCTACAGAAAACTATCTTTAATTTCATAGGGAACCAGAAAAGATTCAGAATAATAAAAGCAACGTTTGGTAGCAAGAGCAAAGCAGGAGGCATCACAGTCCTAGCTTTAAAATTATATCACAATGCTACAGATATTTAAAAGAGAAAGAGCATGGTACTAGCACAAAAACAGACATATGGATCAATAGAACAGAATAGAAAGAGTAGAAATGAGCCCAGGTACACTCAGCTATTTGATCATTGACAAAGGGGTCAAAAATATACCCTGGAAGGAACCAGGGAGATAGTTCAGTGGCATAAACACCTGCACAGCAGGCATAAGGTACTGAGTTCAATCTCTGATACTCATCCCCCAAAAAATAAAACACTGGAGGAAAGATAGCCTTATTAATAAATGATCCTAGGAAAATTGGATATTCGTGTCCAGAAGATCAAGTTTATGTTCATATAGCTCACCAAGTACTAAACAAAAATCAAAATAGGCCAAAGATCTAATTGTTTTTTTAATTATATTAATTTTATTGAAAAACAAATAGCAATGATACAGTTTCAAAAATGATTAGTAGGACAGTTTCAATAATTAACATATTGAATATTGTTGTCTTCATATGGTTATTCATAGTACAAGATACAGACATAATATCCTGTCCAAACACTATTAGTACAAATCTTTCTTCTCATTGAGTTAAGGGAAAGTAGTTGTATATCTAGCCTAACCATTTTGTATATACAGATACAAAATGATCCTTTATTTGTATCCCCTTTTTTTGTTTAGTTTTGTCAGAGATGGGTATTCCATTGCCATTTAAATACTGTAGGTGCATGAATTCAGCAAAATAATCCAATATAGTCCAGTAATCCATAATAGCAGTAGGTTATCCGTAGGACTGGTAATGTTGTTGCCAGCTGTTGACTTGAGCCTTTTACAGCCCAGCATATTAATATGGCTTTACTTTTTATACCTCATTTTTATACTATTCTGCTGGATGGTTAAGACCAAGATAAAGAAAGACCTTTATAACAAGAAATGTAACTTTTGTTCAAAGATCTAAATGTTGCAGTAGAAACACTTTACAATATGCTAGAATATAAAATATATAAAGCTCTTGAAAGACATAGGTGTAGGCAAGGACTTTATGAACAGAACCCCGATGGCAAAATAAATAATACTGAGAACAAACACATGGGATTATAACAAATGAAAGCTTCTGTGTACAAAAAGAAAATGCCAACAGAGTGAAGAGACAGCCTACACAGTGAGAAAAGGTTTTGCCACCTGTTGATCAGACAAAAGCCTAAAATCTAGAATATATAAAGAATTAAAAACAATTAAGCCCTCATAATAAAGATGCAATCAAAAAAATGGACAACCAGAATGAATAGAAACATCTCAGATGAAGAGATACAAATGGCCAATTAATATATCAAAAAATGTTCAATATTGTTGGCCATTAGAGACACAGAAATTAAAACAATACTGAGATTCTGTCTTATTCCAGAAAGAATGACTGTCTTCATGCAAACGGATAATAACAAATGCCAGTGAGACTGTGAAGGAAAAGGGAACTGTGCACCTGGCTGGTGAGAATAGAAACAGCACAACCACTCTGGAGATCAGTGAGAAGATTCCTCAACACACTAAAATCAGAAATTCCATTCTAGTCATCTTTACAAAAGCGTTCCAGACATCACTTTATAGTGACACATATGTACCCATGTCTATAGTAGCACCGTTCATAATAGCTAACTCTTGAAAATGGCCCATGTGTTCAACAACACATGAGTGGATGATGAGAATATGGTATTTATGCACAAGGAAGTAGTACTCTGCCACATGGATGGATAAGCTTGAGTCATTTATAGGTGAATGGATGCACCTCGAGATCATGGCAGTTAGTGGAGGCAATCAGACAAGCAAGCTAAAATATGGCACAATTTGTCTCCTATGAGCAACTCATATTATAAAAAGCAAAATGAATGACAGATAATGGGAATCAGGGAGATCTTTTCCAAGTGGGAAGGCAATCAAGAGTGGGAGAGAGGGGGTAGAGGGAAGGGAAAGGGGATGGAAAAAGAATTATGAGCTGTTAATATATACACACCAGCTCACTATGATGGATGTCATCACTACATCATGCAAGCATGTACTTATAATAAACAAAAACTGAAAAAAAAAGAGTAAGGGATCAAAGCTTGGGGTCAGAATCAGGATGGTCAAAAGAAATGAAAAAGATTTGAAAGAGACAAAGAAAATTATTGCTACAAATGCTTCTAAAAAACTACAACTTTCAGGACCCAGTTGAAATTACGCAAGACTATCTATTTTGGCATTCCCATGGCTAACTTAGGCACATTTCTTTCGAGAAGTAGCACACCACAATTCCTCAAGAATGCTCTAAGTTCCTAAATTGGCTTAGTTTTGAGAACTTGTTTGGAGGTTCTAGCAGGGGAGCACAGCTTCTCGTATACTTGTGAGGACTGAGGAACGGTCCTCCTCTATCGGGGACGGTCGTCCTCTTCAACCAAGCCTGCAGCTTCAGGAGGGACGCACATGGAGTGTTGAGGGAGAAAGGGGGCACCCGCCTAACCAGTCAGATCAGCCCAGTCAATCCTGGTGATCAGTGAGGTGCTTTACAAAGCAAAGAGCAATACACTGATCCTAAGATAAAGGAAAAGGTTGAGAGAATTCAAAGAATTTTAAAATATTTATCTAAAAGGGGAGGAAAAACCCAACAGGGTTCATACCTGTAAAATGGACCAGTATCTTTCCGGGTACAGGCTATCTTTTCTTGGGGTTCCACTCCCTTAAAAGAAACATTAAGATTCCCATTTTCAAGAAAGAAGGCCTCCATCTATTTTGAGGGTTCATACTCTATTTCTTCATCTTTGCCTTTTAAATTCTACTAATGAATTCTTTTTTGCCTCTATTGACCTGTCTTGAAAAATTTTTCACTTTGACAGGAGTCAATGAGCCTGCAAACTTATTTTGCAGGTAGCGTGGGGTTAGGTTCCTTATCTCTGCTTTGGGAATCTCCTCAGGCTTTGTCCACTGGGAAGTTTGTTACGGCACACAGGCCAAAGCACTCACAAGCTCTCTGCACAGGCTGACACTGACAAGAACAATACTGGTACAACCATGAGTACTGATAAAATGTTCAGATTTCCTGTAGTGACTTGTTACTAGCCATTGCCTGTGCTTTTACCACTGCTACATATTTTTTTTTTTGGGGGGAACAGTGGGCTTTATTGATGGTGTGCAATGGTAGTGAGCCAGGGCTGCTGAGGCCCCTCCTCTTCTAGGGGGCCTGGGATGAAAGCTGTGATGGGGAGATTCTCAGTGTTGGGGCTGAGTAGGGCAGTGACTTCTACAGTGTGACTTCTCCCTCTGGTCTCACTGGGCTGTGTGTGTGTGTGGGGGTACTTACTCCTTGGAGGCCATGTGGACCATGAGGTCCACCACATTGTTGCTATAGTCGAACTCATTGTTACATCAGGAAATGAGCTTCACAAAGTGGTCATTCAGGGACCCAGCATCAAAGGTGGAAGAGTGGGTGTCACTGTTGAAGTCGCAAGACACAACCTGGTTCTTGGTGTAGCCCAGGATGCCTTTGAGGAGACCATCTAAGGCCTGCTTCATCACCTCTTTGATGTTGTATTTAGCTACTTACTCCAGGCAGCAGGTCAGATCCACCACTGACTTGTTGGGAGCGGGCACATGGAAGGCCATGCCTGTGAGCTTCCCCTTCAGCTCTGGGATGACCTTGCCCACAGCCTTGGCAGTGCCAGTGGATGCAGGGATGATGTTCTGGGCAGCCCCGTGCCCACCACACCACAGATTCCCAGAGGGGCTATCCACAGTCTTCTGGGTGGCAGTGATGGTGTGCACTGTGGTCATGAGTCTCTCCATGATGACAAAGTTGTTATGGATGACCTTGGTCAGTGGGGCTGAGCAGTTAGTGGTACAGCAAGTTCTGCTGACAATCTTGAAGGAGTTGTCATACTTCTCATGATTAACACCCATCACAAACATGGGGGCATCAGTGGAAAGGGAGGAGATGATGACCTGTTTGGCACCACCCTTCAGGTGCGCCCTAGCCTTCTCCATGGTGGTGAAGACGCCAGTGGACTCCACCATGTACTCAGCACCAGAATCACCCCACTTGATGTTGGTGGGATCTCGCTCTTGGAAGATGATGGTGGCTTTTCTGTTGATGATGAGCTTACTGTTCTCAGCCTTGACAGTGCCATGGAACTTGTCATGGGTGGAATTGTACTGGAATATGGAGACCATGTAGTTGAGGTCAATGAAGGGGTCATTAATGGCCACAACATCCATCTTGCCAGAGTTAGAAGCAGCCCTGCTGACCAGGCATCCAATACGGTCAAATGTGTGCACTCCAACCTTCACCATCTTGTCTGGATCGCTGCTGGCTGCATGGGAAGAATGGCTATCAGTGGATGTGCAGGAGCAGAGAGCCACTGCTACATATTTTTAATTTTACCTCTGCTTTGTAAATAGAAGGAAGTTTTCCTTAGTTTCTTTCCTGTTTAGCACATCCTGCATATACTGAGATGCACAGTGTTTGATATACATATACTAATTGATTGGGACATGCAACTCTGGCTGATTTTGTAGGCTGTCAGGGTAGTGAAAAGTCAGCTTGGGGGTTCCCTGCAGACTGTTGCTTTTTTTTTTTTTTTAATGTATCAGGTATTTAATTAGGTTCTTAGTAAGAAATTTAGAACACTAATTTATGAGGATAAATTCCATTTGTCAGAGCAAAAATGGATCGCAGGTAGCCCCAGAGCTGAGGAACACCTTTGATTTTGCCAAAATCTGTGAGTCCACCGCTTTCTGATCCACCTTGCGCTGCTCTGAAATCTGGTATCTCTCTTTCTCGGTGTCGAAGATCTCGCCTTCCTGGTGTCTGGGCTTCTGCAGCTGCTTCTTCCTGAAGTAAGCATCAGTGAGGTGTTTGGGGTTTTTCACTTTGCTGATGTCAATTTTTGTAGAGGTGGCAATGACAAATTTCTGGTGTGTTCTTTGTAGAGGAACACGATTAAGGCTCAAAGGCCCAGTCACAAGTAGCAAGCCACTGCCTAACTGCTTCAGGAAGACCACTCTCTTGCCTCTGTGATGCCTGGTGAGGATGATCAAGATGGTGCCAGGAGTGATGGTAGCCCGAAGTTTCCGCACATGCTGACTGAAGGGTTTCTTGCTGTGGCTCAAGAGCTTTCGGGGCACATATTCAGTAGGGTAGTACCTAGGCATTTTTCGAAGCTTAACCACCCAGCTACCTCCATTCTTGTCCCCACTGACCAGTTTTGTGATGGTAGCAAGAACTTTCTCCTTCTTTTTCTTCTCCACCTTTGATTTAGCAGCTGTGTGCTTTCTCTTGTACAAAGCCTTTCTGGAATACATGGCAGATCGGGAGTATCTACCAATTCCTCTAACTAGGACAGGATTTCAGCTGCAGTGGGGCTGCCCCTTCTTGGACTTTTTTGCCTTCTTCACCTTACCCTTGTTACCAGTAACACTAGCAGAAGCCTTCTGGGCTTCAGGTTTCTTCTCTTTAGTGTCTGGCTTCTCATTTTTTCACCCGCCATCTTGCAAGATGGGAAAGAGAACTAAGTTTCCAACTTCTGGTCCTCCCTGAAGACTGTTTTGAGAACTTCCAGGGGAAGATTTAGAGATGGAATTTCTCCTATTCATTCTCCTTGGACTCCTGAACCAAGGGAGGACACACATAAAGATCAGTGACTGGGTGACCAGCAGACATCTTTCCAGTCATGAAGAACCAGTCTAATGCCTCCTCGTAACTTCTGGAAGGCTGTGCAGACAAGGCTTTGCCTGAGGTTGAAAGTCACTGCTGTGACTCTCTGCAGAGTCTCACTTGGCAGCCCAATTCAGAGAGAATGGAGATGCTGAAGCTAGTTTTCCTGGGCCCATCACTTAAAGGCAAGAGGCCTCCATTTTCCCAATCACTTCTAGCATCTGCCTGGAAGAGGCTGGCCTCTGGCTCCTTCAGTGTTGTAAGCTTTGAGCCCTCAGAACTTCTCTTCTGTGAGTGAGGATGGAAGAGTAAGATAAGCTCCTCTTAGGAAAACTGACCTTTTAGCTGGGAGCAGCGGAGTATACCTACAGTCCCACAGACAGGCTTGAGGCAAGAGCATAGCCTAGTGTAGAGCTAGGCTGGGCCTCTTAATGAGAATATATCTTGAAAAAAAGAAAGAGGGGGAAGAGAAAGAGAGAGTGAGAGAGAGAGAGAGAGAGAGAGAGAGAGAGAGAGAGAGAAGAGAGGAAGGGAGGAAGGGAGGAAGGGAGGAAGGGAGGAAGGGAGGGAACAGGCCCTGAGATCACCCAGAAGATACTTTCATCTATCTGTATCAATTGAGGGTGGAGTTGCAAGTGAAAGTCAGACCTGGCTAGGAAGGATACTTGGCTTGTGTCCCTGTGAGTTGTGCCTCTGTCCTCTTCCTTGTGAAATGACAGATGGTCCTGTGTCAAGAACTCCCACCTTAGTATTACAGCTCTCATTTGCTCCTGTAGTACTCTTACATTAGGTATTTTGGGCTTGTATCCCACAGCCTGCATTACTTCCTATGTGATTAGAATGTCTGGGTTGCTTTAGGCCTGATAATGAGGCCTCAGAAAGCAAAATCTCACTTTCTCTGATCTCCCTGCTTCCCTCTTTGTATCTGTTTCTCTGTCTCCCCAAGACAAGGCATAGAAAGAAGTGGAGCTGGCCCTAAGAAATTCTCTGACCTGCTATCTTATCTGATAGCACATCAGAAGATGTCCCATTTCACAAGAGCTTTTGTACCATACCTTGGAGGAAGAAAAGACACACAGACCAAGGACCATCTGGACAGGCCCTGCTGGGTTTCCCCTCGGCCTATTAGCATTAGATCAGATCCTTTTTATCCAGTCCTGGCCATACTTGTCATCCTATGCAATGAAATCTGCATAGAAATCCACAAAATAGGGTTTCATGAAATTTTCCAGAGAGCTGAGCCTGGGGGGGCCTGGAGAGTTGTGAACCCACCAAGCCCTGGGGAGTACCACAGCCTCTTCTGACATGCCTCACCCTATCTATCACTTCATCTGCAGCCTTTGTAAAGTCCTTTGAAATAAACTGGTCACTATGTTGACCTGAGCTCTGTGAGCTGCTCTAACAAGGCAGTCCAAGCTGAGGTGTGAGTTGGGGGAGCACGAATTGATCATGGACCAGGGAGCAGCACAAGTAAAATCATCTGGGGCTTGTAATTGGCATATGAAGTGTAGGGGTAGGAGATATCGTGGAGACTGGGCTCTCAACTCCACTTGTGGGATCTAAGACTGTCTCCAGGTAGGTAGCACAAGAATGGAACTGAATGAGGGAACACCCGGCTGGTACTGCAGCAGAATTAATCACTTGCTTGGGTTTAGGGGTATAGTAGCACACATCTAGAGCCAGCAGTGATTTGTGCTGTTAGGCTATAGAGGAGAAATTGATTCTGGGTTTGGTTTCCATGTTATCATATCACCAGAGCAGTACATTGGAACTGTTTGAGGTGTATACTTTGGAAACAGATTCTGATACATTTGTTGGAGCATTACGATACAGTGTGCCTCAGTATAGCCTACCAGAAACCCTGGTCATGATGAGCTCTTGGTAAGGACTGTTTTTTATTGTTTTTGACAAAATAATGCAAAATTGCACCATTTAATGCTTTATTTGTTTTTGTTCAGGATGTTGCCGGAAAGTAAGGATTCTTTTTCTTAAGGCTTTGAAAATCAACTCTCATGAGGTCACATCTGATTGAGATAAATAAGCAAATTTTTCTGAAATATCAGGTGCAGAGTTTCAAAGTCATGAATATCTGCATGTTTCTATGTCACTAATGTTAAGGTGTTATATTTCAGCCATCAGTTTGGTTATAATATGTATTTTGCAAGGATGTATGACATTTGATAGTGTATTTTCCAGGACATCTCTGGCAAATTTTGTGACATCTCTTTGTTTAATAATTTCTAGATTGTAACTGACAATAAATAAAAAATATGTGTCTTATTACATAATTGTAATGAACTCCAATTTGCAATATTAATTTTTTTTTTTCACCTTCAGCACACGGTGTCAGTGAATGCCTTGTGCTGGTGCTCGCTGTCTGCACTGTCAGGGGTTCATCTATGATACAGAGAGCACTGAGAACCACTCCAGATGCACCATGAGAGAAAGCCTGACCCATTTCTTGGAGCAGCTTATGTCTCTGTCATGTTACTTTGCCCCACCATTCCACTCTGTGTCACACAGTTCTGATACTACTCTTTGGATCAAATGAATGTGCTTGAAATACATTCATGTCATATAAGGGCTTTACTCAAACTGCTTCACAGATCAGGCATCAGTGGATTTTCTGAGCCAATAAGGACAAATATGTCCTAGTCTCTTGCTGCTCCTCGCTTACTAACCAATACAACGCACCCACTGCCGAGTCGTGTGGTGTCACGCTTTCGTGGGCAGTGTGCCCTCAGATACCGTGCTCTGAAGCACTGTCTTCCTCTCATGTAAAAAGGTCACAGCAAACACCCTATTTTTGTATTATTTTGTCAAAAACAATAAAAAATATAGCCTTGACTAAGAGCTTATCGCAACCAGGGTTTCTGATAGGTTATACTGAGGCACACTGTATCATTTAATGCCTTACAAAGTTATGATATTTTATCAGTTGTGTATGTACATGTTTTATTTTTTATTCTTTTTTTAAACAATTTTATTAAGAAACAAATAGCAATGAGACAGTTTTAAAAACGATTGGTAGGACAATTTCAATAATTAATACATTGCATATTGTTGTCTTAGTGGTTATTCATAGTACAAGATGCAGACATGATATCTTGTCCACAGACACTATTTTTACAAATCTTTCTATTCATTGAATTAAGAGAAAGTAGCTGTATATCTATCCTAACTATTTTGAATATACAGATACAAAATGATCCTTCTTTTGTATCCCCTTTTTTCTTTAGTTTTGTCAAAGATGGGTATTCCACTGTCATTTAAATGTACATGTTTTAAAAGTTAAGCAAAGCTTACTAAGGAAAATAGCAAGCAGCTTTTACCTTTACTCTCCAATTTTTACTGCCCAAAGATGCCTACCTTTATCTTTTCAGCAATTCTTATATTTTCCACTCTGCATGTAGATAATAAGCTCATCCTGCTATGTTTTTACCCTGCTACTTCTTAGTTATTAATTTTTAGAAGTAATCAATTGATTTTGTAATGTACAAAATAAAGATTTAGCTCTCTTACTGTGTCTCTATCACACACAAATACTTCCTCCTTTACCGCACGCACAAATACTTCCTTTTTCTGATGTCCTAGTTCAGGCATAAATTTTGGTTAGAGCCCTATTTACTTAGTCATG